AAAAAATCAACAAGAACCAAGCCTCGCCTGTCGCGTATGAGAGAGAGAGAGAGAAAACATGCCTAGCCCATTGCTTTAGCATGAACTCCTTCACACAACTTGCCACAAAAAACATGGCGGACGCCGCTGTCAAATGTGGCCATCGCGCAGCAAGGCGAGAGAGGGGCGTACTGTATCTAGTACTATAGTGTACATCTATGGACTACACAGCTCGATAAAATGGCCAGTTCTCGCAAACGACTAGTGTGACACAATTTATCGTTGCGTGTAACCGTGGCTTATGTTGCTCGGCTTGCACCACTTCCGATCCGCTTCGAGGCTCCTGGAGCCTCAAAGTTTGATTTGATTATAAATTCAGTTGAAAATTATCTTCGATTCGTCAGACGGACGCGGGATTGACACAAACTTGAAGAATTGTTGTGAAGTAAAATATATATGAGGTATTGTGGTGAAGTTAGGCGCTCGTCAAAAATAATATACGTGTAATAGAACCTTCGTTTTTCTGGCAGTTTGGTTTTGTTTTTGTTTTTTGCTTTTTTTCGAATCTTCGATTTTTTGCTCAACACTTTTATGCCAATGTAAAAAGCATTTCTGTGTGGATTTGTAGATTTGTAATTTCCAAAGATTCTTTAGCTTTGGAAGTCACCAAACTTTGGCAGCCCTTTTTTAGATGATTTTACCTCTGAAATAAGGCGACCCCCTCCTCATGCAATTGTAAATACCTCGACTTCTATTTAATTATGGGTATTTCTGTCTTCGAAAGCAAGACAAATGAACACGCTTTTAGATGAAACCAATAACTCAACATGCCCAGAAACTGACGAGCGCCTGATTTCACGACGTCATGAAACATAATATGTCAATTGGACAAACAGTAAAACCGCGGTACAATTTGCTTAGCTTAATTTTATGTTCTCTATGCTCTATCGGCTGTAACGCTCATTTCCTGAATCCAGAAGTTTCGTTACGTGTTTAAAATATCTGTCTAGCTAATAATATGTCTACCTCGGCTAAGACGTTCAAATAAGTGGGTCCTAAATTCATTGTTCATTGTTTCAGGAAGCAACATCCCTGCATTCCGGACATGTCCATTGATGCTCTGTTGCTCTCTCCAAAATGTCGCCGAGAGTCTTTCCACTGATTGTGCCAGTGCATATCTGGTTGAACGTTTTTGTTTTTTCCTGCCAGAATACCAGAATTTCCACTTCCTTTTTGTATTCCAAAAGCATCATCCTCGCCACAGCAGTACTGGCCTCTGCCTCCATGTCTTCTTCTTCAATCAGCTGGCGAGAGGGACATTTCAGGATCTTGACCCTGTCTGGTTGAACCGTGCTGTCAACTGAGGTGGCCTCACCAGTCAGTCTGTCTGTTTTTTTCATTTCCCTTAACGCCTGCATGGCCAGGGCAGAAAATCCATGTAAGCGATCGTATAGGCGTTGCTTCGATCAGTTGAATCCATTGTTCTCAGGAAACCTTTTTCTATCCTTCTGAGGGTACACATAGAATCAGAGTGATGAGAACAGCATCGGTAGGTGGGGGGGGGGGCGATCTTGGGTCGTCCATACAAGTGCTTTCGTGATGACTTCAATGTCCATTCGCATACTTGATGTAGCCCTGCTGCAGGCTCCGGATGCACTGTGGATGATTTTATTGTTGGAGAACGTAGTCTGCAGGCTAGGTTCACGGCACCGTGAATGTAGTTGGCAGGCTACGTTCACGGCGCCCTGAATGCAGTTTGCAGGCTCTGTTGAGGCTACGTGCACGGCACT